GCAGCTGAAGCTGATGCCCCCACCCCTCTAAGTGCCCCAGCTGTCACACGACCCCAGACCTCTCAGCCGTTTGGGTTCCCCTCGCTCTCGAACATGGAGCTGCCCTCACTCCCTAGCATGGACTTTCTCAATCCGCTAAACCTCTTCCGCAACAGGGAAGCCGGCAGCGCGTTCCCTCGTTTCCCCTCGTTTTTCTCAAAATCCGATAACACTCCTGCAGCCTCCACAAAGAACGAAATCAGAGCTCCATCTGGATGGCCGAACACTCATCCAGGTGCTCAATCTTTCCCCTCTCCTTCACCTGACATGCAGCCACCTCCTTTCCAAGAACCTCCTCTAAATGAAGATTTCTTGCAGCCTTTGAGACATGTACCAAGAAATAAGGAAAATACATTCCAGTTCATGCCTCACCTTAAGCCAATATTCAGAAATGAGCAAAAGCCTAAACCTCCAACAAGACACAACACTGTCATACAAGCTTTACAACCTACACAGTATTCCGTATCCACACCCCTTGTCAAGCCACACTCAGGAATCCACTCAATAAGTACCAGCAACCCTGGGATAAAACCCACCCATTCACAACCACACAGACCCATTACCAATACATACAACCAGCAAGCAGCTTTACACACAACAAACAGTGGCTTTGGTCAGACTAAAAACAATATAAAGCCAGTAAAAACAATCCAAACTACTGCAGTTGGTCCAGATTCTAATGTGAAAGTAATAAACCCCCAGACGAACCCAGCCCGAGGAAGTGACTCTGCTCCTGAACCCAAAAGTGAACATCTGGGACCTGCTCTGATTAAGTTCACGCTTGATGACGTAATTCAGACAGTGAGGCGTCCATCTCCCCCGGTCAATTCATCAGCCAAGACAAAGACTCAGAGAGAGGACAACAAAATGGAGGACACAAAGCCTGAGAGTGATATGGCTCTGTCTCCATCTGAGGAAGTAGTTACTGTGGCTCAGATCGTTGAACCACCAAAGACCAGCACACCAGCTACGCTGATAATGAAGAGAATCACCTTTAAACCACCTGTTTTTACCAATGCCCCTCAAACTTCAGGCACTACAAAATTCCCCAAATTTTCCAAATTCCACCAAACTTCAACACAGGCAACACCAGCGACTACTGATATGTTTGAGGATGCTTCAACAACAGTCACCTCTACAACTCAAGCTGAGACGAAATCAACACTTCAGAAGAAACAGCTAACTACATCAACAACTTCCACTACTCCCTCTGTCTCAGAGGAAGATGCCCCTCATCTTAATGAAGCTCAATCACAACCCGTATCAAATGCTCCTGCAAACAGAACAAGTCAGTTAAACACAAACAGCTTTTTCCCCATGAGCTGGGGAGTTTCACAGCCAGCTGATGTGCCTTCCAGCTGGGGAGTTTCACAGCCAGCCGATGTGTCTTCCAGCTGGGGAGTTTCACAGCCGGCCGATGTGTCTTCCAGAACTGCTCTAAATAAGGATGAAGAGCAGGTTTCTAAACCAGGTCTTCCCCAGGCAGCCTCCTCAAGAGTCACGATCATTGAGGCCACACCAATGCCTAAGGCTGGAGAGGTTTTCCCAACTCTCAAGCATTTCACAATGTTTACAACACCTGTACCAAATTCCTCTCCTGTTGAACAAACCCCCAACTCAAGGAAAAATGTCCCATCAACATTCTACTACACAGGATCTACTAAGCAAATGGATAAGATTCCAACCACAACAGAGAGAATGCCACTAACGCGACCTGAGCCACCTTCCTTGATAAGCGCCCGGAAGAGACCGGAACGGCTGATGCCTGGCAGATGGAACCAGCGCACTATAAACAAGCCTCCTCAGCTGGAGTTCGATAACTTCAACAGGGAGCGGCCTTTGGAAAATGAGGGAGAAGAGCCACATGTGATCACCCACAATCAATCAAAAGTTCACTACAATCCACCCCCAAGGAAGTTCTTCCACATCAACAGACCAACACCCCAGCCAGCCCTGATTATGAAGACACAGCCATCACCGACATCCTTCTCCTCCTCTTCTACCCCATTCTTCAACTATAAGCAAAAACAATCTTTTGTTATTCCCTCCCCTACTTCTGTGGATACCATTCGAGACCCACCCACTCCTACTCCAACTCCTGAGAGACCAGAGATGACAACAACAATGTTCAGAAGGCGCCCCATGATCAACTTCAACAGGAGGAGACCCGAGGAAAAGGCAGGAGAGGCGCCCGAGGAAGAGTATGAGGAGGAGAATGAGAGCACCACTGATGCAACTGACAGTACAACAACAGAGTACCCATCCACTACAGTTTTAGATGAAGAGACCACGACAGCTCAGTATGTGGACACCACAACAGAGGACACAACCATAACCCCAATTACAACAGAGAGTCCCGAGACAGACAAACCTGTGAGGTACAATTCAATATCAAGGCTTCGAAACTTCATGACCCGCAAGAGGGCAAACAGAACAAGAACAACACCCAGGGTTGCAAATTCTGCTACAACTACTCCTTTACCAATAACAACTACTGATTTACCTGATGATGATCCTGATACTTCTAGCCCAGGAGCTGACCCCAGCCCCACAACACCACCCCCCTCTCGACTCACTACTAAAAACTTTAACAGCTTCAGGACGCGCCTTTCAAACAGGCCAATTAGCCCACTTTTTAGGAAACCTACAACCATCTCCTCCCTCACCACTACCACTACCACAACCACCACCACAACCAAAAAGCCCCTCAGGCCAACGAAGGTTCCTACCACATTCCCTCCAAAGCTCTCCAACTTCAAGAACATTGACCGCGACCACAGTGGCAGCCACTCTTCCCAATTTGAGTGGAGACAGCCCATTCATGAAGTCCTCCTACAAGACCACCCAGAGATGCTCCATCTCTACAACTGGGAATCCAGCCGCCTGGATGGAGCTCAGGATCGTGCGGACACCGACTACAACCCACAAGCCCCAGAGCCAGGACTGGCAGATATTGAAATCCTTCTTCCAGGAGCTTCAAGTCTGTCCCCAGTGATTGTGGATCCTCCCCAAGTTCCCGCATCACAGGAAGCCAGTAACCTGGAAGCCTCAGTCAAGAGACCATTCCTGTCTCCAGAATATGCTTCAGTAACAAGAACTGCAGCTAAGGTAGGATTTGTAACATAAATTACTTTCCAGATGCAAATTATATTTCTCTTGCAAAGGACTCATTCATACATGTTTCAAAATATTTCCCATAATGTAACCAGTCTTCTAGTCAACTCTACTCAAACATGTGTATCTATTTCCATAATTTCACTAACTAACTACATAACAAAAAGACTTAAAGTACCTGTAACAGAAAGAGACTCACGGCCAAAATATATCACAATTTCTCTTATTTTCAGGTCCCACTTGAAGCAACAGCAGAAGAGAGCAGTGATGCCTGGGACACGCTGATGGGAAGCTTTGGATTGGGAGAGTCACCTCACAGCCACATTCTATTCTCACTACATAAAAATGATCCTTCCATACTCGATATCTAAACATCCTTTTCCCTAGATATTTTCTTTGATGCATATACTTTTTTTCATAGAGGGCATATATATATATAGCTGAAGATGTACAGGAAATACATAGCTTCAGTCACCTCTCTCTCTCTCTCCCTCTCTCTCTCTCGCTGATAAATTTTTGGAGACTTTTTCTTCTTTCTCAGGTAACAACGTTTCTTAAAAGTTACCAAGCAGTAGAAGTAACCTAAGAATCCATAGTTTTAAGGAAACACATGCTGAAATACCTCCTAATTTCTTTCAATGCAACAATAACCTACTTTGTCATTTGGCCACTACCTTTGTTCTATAATTTTGTCCTCCAATTCTGGTCTATCATATTATTTGTTACTTTGGATTTATCATTCTGTCTAATCCTTTCATTCTGTGTTTCCAACCATCCTGTATATAGTTTTACCAAAGTAGGGATGGAGTTATGGCTGGCCCATAATTCTTCCTACAGCATGTATTATAATGTAGTTCACCCAAATGTGAAGAAATATTTTATTTTTCTATATCTCTTGTTCAAATAATCATTTACACATCTTAAGTGTTGTATAATATTATAAGTACAACAATGAATGCGCATGCCTATTCCTCAGATGGTTAAAATTGTTGACTATTTTGTTTATGTTGTTAAATGCCTTGTCATAAAATATCCTTTAAAATGTTTTTGTTAGAAAATGTTAATAATGATGTTAGTAAAAATGATATGAATGAGAATTTAATAACTTTACAGAGTAAGAGGTAAAACGGACACATTTTGAATTTGTACCTTCGTCAGAAATTCGCACAATTTTGCAGCATATATAACAATGAGATGTGCCGTTGGTTCTCATTCATAACTTTTTTTATCACGTTGATGTCTGCTCAGGATGTTGATATAAAGTGTAGAACCAACAGCTGGCAGTACATACCTCTTTGGCCAATAAACATCATCCCCATAACACTTATTTTTCAACCCTGCCACTTTTCCATATATTATTAACCCTTTTTTCATATTCTGGATGTTTGACAGTTTTAAAGGAAACAACTTCACTTCTATCTTTTAATAGTATATTATATTCAAAAATCATTCTAAAACAAAACAATAAAGTACAAAAGGAAATTTAACTAATCAAGAATGAAACTAATAATTTTAGTTGAATAATACATACAACAAACATTACAACATAACCTATGAGGAGAAATATTTTTGTTATATAAATATTGAGGGTATGTACGTCTAAAGCTCTTTTAGGACCAATATATATATGGTCACAGCTGCAATAGTCAATGATAAAAAAAAAAAAATCATAATGTGCAAGGTATACCACCTCATATACACAAAAATATTTGAAGAAAGAAAACACCCTTGGTCACTGAGAATATTCCCAAAGAAACCAAAAGGAAGGAGGAAAAGACAAAGACAGCAACAAAGAATAAGAGAAATATAAAAGAATGATACAACAAAATGAAAAAATAAACCCTTACCTGTTCATTGAGAGCCCTCCAACCAAGGTCGTCGGTGCGATCACACTCGTAGGTCTCTCCTAAAAGTGGGTTGAAAGGCTTGGCGGTTCTCACTGCAGTTGTTGCGTACGATGAAACGGTGAACGCAGCAACGAGGGACAACTGTTCGCATGAATCCTCGATCTATGGCATAAAAAGATGGCAAGTAAATTAGATGTGAGGGTACAGGGAATGATGCAAACTTTTCTTTTCTCTGACTAACTGTCTTGAAATTCACCAGATTTGCATTCTGATACTGGCCTATTACCTTTTTACTTCCTACCACTTCCACTTCCTAAATTCTTATACAAGTGAATATGCAACTACACAATACTTCTTACTTTAGACAGACAGACAGACAGACAGACAAACACAAAAATATGTGGATGACTGACAAGAAAGGGTAAGACTTTCTCTATGAATTATCAATCTGTCATATGCAGTGACCATTGCATAAATTTCAAAGACTAAAAAACCTATTCTATCGGGCTTATATATGACTAATGACATTTTTAAAAGGATTTTCTGTAATCCAAAAAAAGGAAAAGAGAAAACATCCTTCCTTTCTATGTTGACTTTTGTTCCAATCCAAGAACACAGAACCTTACCTGAACTGCTCTGTCCAAGATGTCCGAGTATTCAAAATCTTCTGTTAATCGTTGCAAGAAGGACAAAGGTTCGCTAAAGTTTACCTGATGAGAACAGAGAAAATGATGCAATTTTAGATTCTCATTTTAAAACCATATATCTCTTGATTTGTGATCATTGCATGTGTTTGTAAAGCCATTATACATTCACTTAAGATGAACAATGATATTCACATGTGATTAACAACTATACCAACAAAATTATTAATGGAAAAAAAGGAAACATATAAACTATTAAATCATTTAAATGCCTCTCCCTCAAAAAAAAAAAAAAAAAAAAAAAAAAAAAAAAAAAAAAAAAACAAAAAACAAAACAGCAGCAGCAGCAGCAGCAGCTTACCGGCATGGGTATTTTCGAGAGTTCCTTGCCTATACAGTTCTTCATAATGGACCACAAATTAATGGGATAATTGGGCTTATCGGGGACACGTATTCTGCGCTGGCGCTTAGGCCGGCCATTCGCCTGCGCGACAACACCATCAGTGGGCGTTGTGGCTTGGGATCCATTCAAGCTTGCCATTTCATCACTTAACTGAAAAGAAAGAGAAAAAATATGTTCACATTATTCTCAATATTAATGTATTTCCAATGTACTCAAATTCAGTAATTAAAGTGCATGCATAATATAGAAGGGCATATTGTCTTGTAAATGCCTTCTGTTCTGCTATGGTTATCAAAAGAAAATGCTGCATTCATACACAATTTAAGGAAATGCATGATCAAAATATCCATTTTCAACTACAAATTGAAGTCTTGCATGTGTTGAAAGCAAAAAAAAAAAATATTTTTTAACAAAACTTAATATGATGAACAAGAAATTTAAGTAAGTTACTCATATTTTTATCATGTGAAAAAAGGAAGAAAAATTTATATGTATAATAAAAGAAAGGAAAAAGAAAGCTGAGAGAGAGAGAGAGTAAGTGAGTGAGAGAGTGAGAGAGTGAGAGAGTGAGTGAGTGAGTGAGTGAGTGAGTGAGTGTGTGTGTGTGTGTGTGTGTGTGAGTGAGTGAGTGAGTGAGTGAGTGAGTGAGTGTGTGTGTGTGTGTGTGTGTGTGTGTGTGTGAGTGAGTGAGTGAGTGAGTGAGTGTGTGTGTGTGTGTGTGTGTGTGTGTGTGTGTGTGTGTGAGTGAGTGAGTGAGTGAGTGAGTGAGTTGAGTGAGTGAGTGTGTGTGTGTGTGTGTGTGTGTGTGTGTGTGTGTGTGTGTGTGTGTGAGTGAGTGAGTGAGTGAGTGAGTGAGTGAGTGAGTGAGTGAGTGAGTGAGTGTGTGTGTGTGTGTGTGTGTGTGTTTGTATGTGCTTGTGTGTGTGAATGGGTGCAAATATGCATGCATGTGTCAACTTGGACTGGATAACTGTTAAGCTACAAATATTCACATTCAGCCTAATATGAAGGGAATATAGACATTTACTTTGTATGATGTTTAAAAGGAAAAAAAAAAAAGGATGAAGACAAAAAAGGAAAGCTTCAAAGCTGAACAGCTTTCCTAATACTAAACCAAACTATGTTAGCAGTGAAATTAATTATATTGAAAATTGTGTTAGTAAGCTGCTAACTAGTCGAGTACAAAAAAGCTGCTTGAAACTAATTACACAACTAAATAAGCCTGTTAGTCATACAATAATACAAAAAAGTGTACATCATTGACTTAGGGGCTTACTGCATCTAAATACGCTTGGATCTATTTCAGAGGATCCTTAATTATTAAGACCTTACACTTACTAACAACAAACATGAAAACAGTAACAAAGTAATTAAAACTCTTTGGTTCTAAAAATAATGCCATTAATAATAAAAACTTACTTAGGATTTTAGCACTATATATTTTTCTTAGATAGAGCATCTAGGAATTTCTTGTTTAGCCCAATCATGACAGGATGCTCTTAGTTGATGCATAAACAACTGCTTAGATAATGAGGCTAAAAAGAGAATTTATGCCTGCTTTTGATGGCCTATTTCTCGTCCTCAAATGCAACCTGGGCTAAACAAGTGCACGCCGTAAAGCAGGCACAACTGTACATGATGCAACTTCATCATCGGATTGGACATGACAGTATGCCATCCAGCATCTCCCAGTGTGATTGAATTAAATAAAAATGACCAATCACACACAAGATTCATAACACTTAGTTCATAACCAGGAGAATCAAATATATGAGAGGACATTAGCTCATCAGCTAATTGAGATGCTTACTAATGAATATTCTGTATTTATGAAAAAATTACCTCAATAACATCAACAATTCTTAACTCATGGAAATTGCTACAGTACATAGAATCTAGGGGTATGGACAATGTGTTATCAAACCGAGCCTATGGTAAGAAAAAACAAGGTTTTCTATTGCTCGTCTTAAACTGTGCTTCTACCATGGCTATTATTATCGTACTGAATAATGGAGCTTGTGAAACTTGGGGCAAATGGACTCCTCAAATCTCATATTGAAAGCAAGTATTGGGAAAACAGGCAGCAAGTGTTACAAATCTGCAAGATCCACTGACTATGCTATACAGGAAAGAGAATGGGAAACAAATGAAAAAGAAAACCATAAAATCATCACACTCTTCCTTACACTGAAATAATCAACTGAAAGCCAAAGAGGTAGAAGTCAGTAAGGCATAACAGTTTTATCAATATATACTAAAGTGAAATCATAACTGCAATGATTATTCTTAAAACTAAAGCAACAAGTAGGCTTGACATGCAATAAGATACAAAATGTACAAGAACAATGTCTGATGAATACAATCTGATTATCAAAAATACAAATACAATAAATACAAAACAGTAAATTTAAATACATAAAAATATTCACCTAGCTGTTACCTAGTGACTAAACCCACACAATAAATGCAATACGCACCTACATACATTGTTAGAAAATCTAGCAGTGCCTCAATATGGACAAATCTGCCTACTTCAGATTCTTGCACATATCTTAACCCCTTGCCGCCGGGTGACGGCGATACGCGTGTAAACAAATCGCTTCAAAGGTGGCGTGCGGCCAAACCAGCCGGCGGCGCGCCAAAGCGCGGCGAGCCAGTGATTCGGGCTGACGCCCCGTACTCCGGCGCTCAAAGTCGGCGCGCTGCCTTTGTTTGCCAGAGCGTAGAGTTTTATTTTCCTTTAGTACACCCGGCGTCATTGGGTTAATTACTTAAACCTCATATATATATATATATATATATATATATATATATATATATATACTGTTAATATATACATTTACACTTCATAAATAGTTATGAATTAGAGGAAGAGAGTGACTAACTCCTTATCCCCTTCTCTATCTCCCTATCATCAATAGCATCCACAAATGATACTTCACATCAATGACAAGACACAACAAAGGAACCCTCTATTGCTTAAAAGGATTCACAAAATGCTACTTAGCCTGGAAACTCTTGCAGTAGAGAAATTATTACACGGAACCAGATTCTTTGACATAAGCCACTAATTGTGTCTGATCTGCTAATACATGATTCCTGGATAATTCAATGATGTAAATTCGATAACAAGCACTTAGTGACAACATTAAATTTTTGAGCAGAAAATAGACTTTGGATGAAGATTACAAAACTTTAAATTTGCAGGAGTTGGAATAATAAAAAAAGAGACAATGTCAATAACATCAATTTCAGCAACATGCATTTATCATTCCTTTTTTCTTTAACAACAACAACAAAAAAATAATGGTAAACTATTCAAAGTGAAAGCCAGATCAAAAAATGAACAAAATAAACATTTTTCAATTTGTGTCTTAACTCATTCTTAACAAACACATAAATACAAACATACATATTCACAAATATAAACACATAGCACACAAACATACTCTAGACACAAGTACACAACATGTACAAACAGAAACACAAGCATACTATACACACATACAAACACACCATATACAAATATAAAACACACACATACACATAAACAAAAACATACACACATGAACAAGCACACACATAACTATACACAATCAAAAACAGATGTACATACCACAAAAACATAAACATACTTGCAAACACACACAAACATGTATTCACAATCACCTGCCCTCCCATAACAGACAGTCCGTAGAAAGCAATTGTTTATGGTGATGTGGACTGCTTACTTGTAAAAATATTCTTGATAAGTCATATCCCACAGGTACACAGTTATGTTATGAGCTCATGTCACCAACACATAAATGAACGTCTTGCGTCTATCACGGTTTGCTATGCATCTCATAATTTCTTCGTCTGATGACCAATAAGGTAACTTCATCACAGAATTACTAATTAAATAAGAAATGAAAGAAAAAACAAAATACTCTAATGCTTGAGAAAAGAGTTCAGACTCGATAGCCACTTAAATACAAAACTTTTCAATCTCTTTTCACCCAGATCTAATTCAACTTGAGACAAATAAAATAAAAAAGTCAACTAAAACCACTAATGATGCTTCAAAATATGAGTAATAATAAATTCCATATATATCACACAGATACAAATCCCTGTGAAAAATATTTCACAGCAAAATGAGAATTACCCATTTAACATTTATGAAGAGATACATGTTCATTCATACCTATTTTTTCAATATCATGATGACCTTCATTAAGACTGGGGTTGGGGTTAAATGGGGGTTAAATGCATGATTATGACAGCTAAACTTATGCCCATAAAGTACTTCTTCATCTAGTCACTTGACAAGCTTTGGTAGTCTAGCCAGGAGAGTTCAATAAAGTGGCTGAAAAGTTTAGGCCTGTTCATAAATGGAATAAAAAAATAAAAGAAAATCCATCATCGTTATAAGCCTTTTGAGGAGTACTACAATGGCAGGGTTTTCAGCCTTTAAATAAAGAACAGGAGGAATGTGAATGCTCAGTCATTACTGGGCACCTTCTTGATGATGTAGTTAAAAAAATATACTATCTTTATAAACATCATTGGTATGCTGCCTATGACATAAGAAAACAATTATTCTATAGCAAATGATCATTTCATTTCCCTTTATTTGTATCTGTACTTGTGCATGATTCAACAGAGTATGCAATCCATTTTAACCTTAAAAATTAGGTAGTCTAAAAAAGGAAAACAAAATAGCAAATTTCAAAGGAATCTAAAAATGACTTCAACCCAGCAAAAGGCCCCAAGAAATCAACCATCAAAAAAGCATAAAAGAAATAAGCTTCAAAAGAGTATAATACGCAAAAATAAAAGAAAAAAAGGAGATAAAAATGGTGAATCAGCCATCCTATGGTGTATGCAAAATACATATGGTTATTCAAAAGCCTTCCCCTAAACATGCAAATCAAAGATATACAAGAAAAACCTACCATCAATAAGTCATACATGACAGCCATCAAATCAAGCAAAGGCCAGAAGCACTGGAATGAAACATTCACGGAGGAACAACTTACGCTATAACTACTGTCTGTATTGTTGTCTTTCCTCATGATGACCTGGACGGTGTTGTCCTGCCCGTCTCCTTCGCTGCTGGATGCGGACACTGTGTCTCCTACACCGTGCCCTTCTGACGCCTACAGTACCCAAACACATAATCAACCACAAGCTTTTTCCCAGGCATACTTTTGTTCTCAACTAAATTACTAGATCATGGCTACTTCTCTCTCTCCCCCCCCCACCTCCCTCCGTTTACAAGTACTTTCCTATGTGAAACACTATGACATGACACATGAAAGCATAAAATGTTGATGAGGGATTTAACAATTTTTTTTTTCTTTCTTACTTTCTTTCTCTTTTTCTTATATCACTCTCTCAAAACAGAATGGGGAAAAAGGGTGAAAAATAATAAAAAAAAAATTATATATATTATACATGTGCTACTGGGCTACAAACACACTGTACTCGAATTTAAGGTTCCAAGTATTACCAACTTCCATTTAAGGCAAGAGCTTACTTTTAATGCTTTATTTCAGAGGTTTGTTGGCGGTCTTGAGGAAGGTCTACGATACAAGCCAGCCACAAGCAGGAAGAGCAACATCACATGACCTATATTGCATTACATGACCTTCTATGTCTTAAGCAACAGCCAAAAACTTCAATTATGATCAAGTGGATAAGCACAAACATGCTGGTGGGCAAATAATAAGTCTGGCAGGTCTTCCGTCTTCAAATATTGGTGAATATTTATCTCTCACTTTTATTTTCTTGGTATGTACGTTATACATTTCTTTCTTAAATCCTCCTCCTCCTTTCAATTTTTGTGTTTCTGTACACCACTTTTTTCCTATTACATTTTGCTTTTGATCTTTTCCATAAAACTGATAATTTCCTGTCTTCACGTCATCTTGCATTGTGGAATAAATGTTATAACTGTTGATTTATGTCTTACTGGCAAACTTCTTGATCACATCTGGGGCCCTATAAAAGCGTCTGTTCTTATACATGTAAATAAGTTATAGATAACATTATAAAAAAAAAAATCATATATCAAAAAGGGGACAAGAAATGGTAATAAAAATGTTAAATTACATATGCCTGCCCTATTAAGAGTACATATGATAAAAAACATAAAAAAAGAGAAACTTCAGTTCAACTTCTGTAAAAAAAAACGTCACATCTCCAGAGCAATGATGATGCCAGCCATATATATCTGCCCACCAAATACCTATATCATATCACACTTCCTTTTCAACTTACTATCCTAAATTAACGATGCAGCAAACAACTAAACAGTAGCAAATTATCTTTTGTAAGCATCTTCCCCCAAAATTAAGGAAAACACACATCTTAATCAAGCCCTTATTACTTCAAATACACGCTCTTAAAACCAAAACCAAGCATAAAAAATCAACCTCCAATTCTACAAATTCAAATCTAAAAAAAAAAAAAAAAAAAAAAAAAAAAAAAATACACATATCCCTACAAAAAAAACAACAAAATATGTCATACAGTCAATGGCATGATTATTAAGAAGATTCTACAAATACAAAAATGTTACTCTAACCACAAATACAGCTATAATGACAAAAGGGACTGAAGATACACAGCAGCACAGACTCACCTGAGAAACATTGGAATTAGACCTTCGGTGTGCCTGACTTGTATTTACATGCACAATGAAATTCTCTGCCAACTCTTCCACTGCATCCTCGAACTCATTCTCCTCCTCATCCTCGCTGTGGCTGTGACCTGTAGGCAGAAGGGGGAGGTTAAAGGAAGGGAAGGTTGCAAATGTGTGTAATCCACAGTCTGTGGGAGATTCCTCTTAGAATGAAGGAAAGAGATTAAAAATAATGATAATTAATACTGAATGTGTCTGATTGAAATACTGTATATAGGCAGAGACTGAGTAAAATAAGAGGAAATCACAGGAAAAACACAGAATACTGACAAGATGACTGAAGAATCAAAAGAATTAATTCATGAATCTTATATAAACACATTCATAAAATATATATCATATTTTATAACTAACATTTGAAAAAAAAAATACTACCTGCAGACACTATTTCCTATTCCTTTTTCACATATAATCCAGAAAAAAAGGGACACATGAGATAACAACAGCTAAAATAACTGCAGATGCCTCACTTCTTGCTTCTAATAAATCAGTGTGCTTAAACTATCAAGTCTTTATTACTTCAAAGCCACCAGCTGTGCACAAGTTACTGCCCTCATAACCTTTTAAACATAATCTAAAAGAAAATAATCCAAGTTGTTAGTTACACAATAAGAAGCCTCTATTACAGATACACTTGTTCATTATGTACAGAATAAAACTGACACCAATTACTCTCACACAGCAGGACCCTTTTATACATGTCTGGGGCTGGTAAACCACTTTTGACGATTCTCTATTCTTCTTTCTGCTATCGGTATCAACCATCTGTATCCTCAAATTTAAAATCCTTGTAATTTTGAGTAAATACACATTTCAAGCACAATGACTTGGTTTCTTATACATTCTACAATCAACTCTTTGATATATCATCTCAGTCCTCCATACATTACTTCCCTTAGAAAACTTAGATTGATATGTTCTTGTTTACATAAAAACTAAGTCATCTGTGATCCATCCTTCTTATGAAGAAGGATTTTAAATCAAAATAGGCATAATCAATATCATCTGCCATGACACTCCTATTTTATCAAACATTAACAATGAATAGAGTTCAAGACTTGTAAATGACCATTTCAATAAAATTATTATCGAAATTACATGTAATACTGTCAAGATTTAATAAAAATACATCAACATCCTTCCCTGCTTTTTAAATCTATTCATTCTATTAACAAAATTCCTACATAAAAAAGAACTTAGATATCTAATGCACATAGCTATCTGTTTTGATTCAAATATCCCTATAAAAATCTCATGAAACATATCACAATACTATCAAAAACTATTTCCATGCAGTATCTATGGCCATAAATGTCCAAAGATATTATACAAAGGCCAAAAACCAGATATAACTCTCTCTTACTGCTTCTTATAAATCAGTAATGTGACTGATACTTGTAATCCATTTTTTATCAACTGAGGATTATGTTGCTTGAATGAAGTTCACCCTTGAATATCACAAGAATATTTCTCAAAAGATTTAATTAGAATACGGTTTCTTCAGACAAGGCTGTAAAGAGAACTGATACAGTATATGCAACTAACTTTAGGATACAATCTTAAAATGTTTAAAATAAACCCATGTTTATCTTTGCAAAGATATTCTTTCTAAAATCTGGATACTACACAAAGACTAAGAGAAAACCACTACACAAAGACTAGGAGAAAACCACTACACAAAGACTAGGAGAAAACCACTACACCCAAGTTAGGATAACACAAGAAACAAAGAAAATGCAATCCAAACCTCCTCCGCAAGAATCAAATAAACTAACAAACAACCGAGACAATAAAACTGGTTTTATCTGGGTCTCCCATTCTTGGGACCTTGCCAGCATCAAAACCTGTTCCTCAAGATATATATATAAACTTCCTTATTGGACTGCATGTATGTAAATGTAGAATCTAAATGGCATGTGTGGCAAGCATTTTGCGAGATGACTTTGTTGGCAAACAGCTAAACAGACAGACTGATATACCGACTGATTGCTATTGTTAAGTTTTTTGCTATCTTTATAGTCAGGTTCAGTAAATGAACTAAAGCAACAATTGAATTCATGAGGCTCCTATCTTGCATCAGAATTTCCTTTGTTAAATTATGAAAAATAATACTATAATCTACGTTGGATTTCTTATTCTAGTTCTATATAACTACTGTCAACATCCTACAATCTACATACAACTTTCTTTACAAATAATCTACAATATAGTAACCGCAAACCACAAACAGAGGAATTCTATACCTTTTCAATTCATCAAAACTTCCTCGATGAAAGATAAACACACAGCCCTATTCAGCCCTTCCAAAGTTTACCCATGCAACTCGAGGAGAAATCAAATATACATAACATTTCATTAGATCTAGAACTCTAATATTATCGAGGGTGTCTCCACTCAGTCCTAGTAGTGCACAGTCTTCATTCAGTTCTCCCAATCTATCCTTGATGAATGGCAACCATCTCATTTTCATCAGGATCTTGGACCTTGCCAGCTTTGACAACCTTTACCTTGCGCAACAAAACAACCAGAAGTGGAAGAAAGTAGTTCCAAGTGGTTAGTGTTAGTACGGATGAGTAAAATCCTCTCTACATCTACGCCTCTCATCCCTAACCCACCTGAAAGTACTTCCTTCACCTGTTCAGGGTTTGGATCTGGAGGTCGGTATTCATTGACAGCTACTGGTGCCGAGCTGGGTACGGGACCTTGCAGCCCTACAGAGACACCTAATATGTATGCAAGGCCCCACAATGCTTATAGAGGTAAAAGCATTAGCATAAGCAAACATTATCAACTTGCTGAATAACCCTTCCTACAAAAGGTTGGATATATTTTCCCCAAAAGATGAAATAATAAATGTAAATGCACAAGGGACTATGAGGGCAGACACTAAAACCAATTTGCCTAAGCAAAGCATGATGTAATCCTATCCTCTTATATTAAAGAAATCAATGAGCATTCCTTTTATCACACTAGTCTGAATACACAACTTAAAAATTACAGTACCTGTTAATCCTACCAGTGAAATAAAAATACAGAGAGCATACAATACTGCTATGGGCAATTTATAAAATCAACTTTTTCTAGCTGCGCAACATACACGTGATTTAAGTTAAGCACATGCTATCCCCTCCCCCCCCTTTTTTTTCAATTAAGTGCTTGTGAATCCTAACAAAGAGTGTGCATGCAACAAAAACTGTGAATGTTACTCAGCTGAATACTAACAGAAACAAATATATATAACTGATAGAGAGAGAGAGAGAGAAAAAAAATAATAATAAAAAATAAAAAAATAAAAAAACACAATAAACTAACAATTTTCCAAACCCTCATTTTACTGACAGAACATTCCTCCTTTCCTTTCATGCCTCGGCGACTACTGACCTGGTGGCATGGCCTGATTCATCTGTTCCTTGGCCTCCTGCTCAAGATGTGAATGCTGGCGGGCCAACTGCTCCACCATATCTTCCAGCCTCAATCGTTGGTCACGCTCATGCTGCAAGAGACGCTGCCATTTGCGCCCAGCAGTGCCACTCACATCCACGTAGTCGTTGCAAGCCTGAAATAGTTGGGGTGTGTCAGGATATCTCTTCATCATTCATGTTTACTTTAATAAGAATCTCATCAATTAATAACTAATAACTGAAAGACATTTTGATAATAGTAGCACTTTAATTCATATTCAATCATAATTACTTTCATGCAAAAGTGACCAAAATGAGGAACTTAACATAAAAGGTCTCGAGTCGTTCTTTTTTTTACCTACCAATCGACCTGTCAATTTATTTTAATTACTCCTCGTGACTTGTAATTCCTCATCCTGTTATCTAAAATGTATTCATACCTTACCATCCTCTATTTCTAGACCTGCCATGCTATCATTATCTATAGTGGTGCTTTACACACCATCCATTAAAATATCACTGAATCCTGCTAGCTTCCAATAATTGCTGATAATGGAACACTGCAAACGTCTCCAAATTTGAAACCATCCTTTCACTCCTCCCATCAGAAAAGGGAGGAGCAGGGGAGAAGGAGGAGGAGGAGGAGGAGGAGGAGGAGGAGGAGGAGGAGGAGGAGGAGGAGGAGGAGGAGGAGGAGGAGGAGGAGGAGGAGGAGGAGGAGGAGGAGGAGGAGGAGGAGGAGGAGAAGGAGCAGCAGGAGGAGCAGGAGCAGGAGGAGGAGGAGGAGGAGAGGAAGAAGGTAATAGGAGAGGCTGAGTGGGAGAGGGAGGGATTGAAGAAAAAGCAGATTGAATTAAATACATACAAAGAGGAATAAGAAAGAGAGGAAAGAGAAGAAAATGATAAAAACAACAAAAAATGTAAAAACCACCAACAAGACCGCTTTTACCCTCTCTCATCAAGGAACAAGCACGCAAGCAATCAACTATAACCTATAAACACAAAATCGGGAAATCTGTTACATATGCTGTTTGAACATGAAGATTAAAGGAAAGTCGTGAATTGATGCGCTGCTTTGGAAGGAACGAATCAATGGCCTCATGAATAATATCCGATTTTCTGGGGTAGAAGAGGGATAATGGCCGACAGCCCACACTAGGATGAACAATGATAATCACACTAAAATGGACATGGTGCGTGAGTATGGGGGGGGGGGGGGGGGGGGTGCGAGTGTGTGTGTGTGTGTGTGTGTGTGTGTGTGTGTGTGTGTGTGTGTGTGTGTGTGTGTGTGTGTGTGTGTGTGTGTGAGTGTGTGTGTGAGTGTGTGTATATGTGTGTGTGTATATGTGTGTGTGTGTGTGTGTGTGTGTGTGTGTGTGTGTGTGTGTGTGTGTGTGTGTGTGTGTGTGTGTGTGTGTGTGTGTGTGTGTGTGTGTGTGCCCCTGCAAACGAGTGCGTATAAATGCGTATCTGTGAACACGCGCGTCTCCCTCGTGGAAAGCCGCGAGTGGGCGTGCGGGGTCATGGGGTCACAGCAACCCGAGTGGCGCGCGGACGGCGACGGCAACTGAGGCCGGTGGGTGGCAACAAAGACCCGGTAACAGCGACGACCTTTACCAACTTTCCATCCTTCACACCCGCTCTCACGCCCACACTCACGCCCACCCCTACACTCGCACCCACACACAAAATACAAAAATACAAACCACCCGCAGTGCCGCCCACGCCCTGAGCTGCGTACGGGCGGCAACCCCGACTCAATGATCTGCGGCCGGAGTGAGGGACCCTCTCGCGAAGAGGACGCTCCCCATCCTTTGCATCCTCGGAACCGGTTTTTCGGCGCATCTCGGCCAAGACATGCGCCCACGCCCCCCCCCCTCTCGTCCCGACCCATGCAACACATGTCTTCCCTCCCATTCACTTCCATGTTTCCCTAACTTGCAACCCATTCCATATCCACCCCCTCTTTTTCCCTGTCCACTTCCCCTGCCCTCTTCTCCCTCCCCTACCCATTTCCCCCCCCTCCTTCCTTCCACTCCACCCACACTCCCTCTTCTCCCTCCCCTACCCATACACCCACACCCATTCCCCCTCTTCTCTCTACCCCTTCCCATTCCTCCCTCCCCTCCCCACTTTCCGCCCTACCCCCTCCCTTCCTCCCCTACATCCTACATCCTAAATCCCACTTCCCTTTCCTCCCCCCCCCACTTCCCTATCTAACCCCCTCCCCCCACCTCCCCCGCCGTCGTGACCACTGTACACCCACGACGCACCATCGCGAGAGAGGCATAATGTACGCGGCGCCCTCCCCTTGGCCTGAGGGCGCTTCGGGAACACGCGAGGGCCACGAATTAAGCGAGATGAATTTCTTAAGGCAAGTGGGAAGCAAAGAAATGGGGAGAAATGGAAAGAAAAAGAAGAAGAAAAGAAATGGGGAGAAATGGGAAGAAGAAGAAGAAAAGACCATATGCAGTTGCGAAAGAGATGAGGGTGACGATGATGGTGACTGTGATGATGATAATGACGATGACCATGACGATGATCATGACGATGATCATGACACCGACAATCATAATAATCTAAAAACAAATCCCCACTTTTTCCAGATCAAATTTCATGTTAAAAAAAAAAAAAGAAAACTCCAAGACAAGGTTC